GCTGCTTGTGCGTAAAATAGTATCCCCTCAGAGTTTGTTCAAGTCCACAAACCTCTGTCTGTGACGGAGCCCTTCAGACATGGCTCCTCTAGTCACTAGCAGATTCCGACAGTGGTTGCTTTCGTAATCGCTTCCAACATAAAAGCTCCTTAACGGAAACACGTCTTCTGGACTCTCTGCGTGACAGTTTCCGGCGAGGAGTGGGTGTTCTTACAGGAGGTCCTGAAACCTCCCCACTGTTTTCGCTGGAAGTGTCTCTGAGCCATCCCTCCAGCTCACTTTCCCTCAGCTCAGCTCCTCTCCCCCTGCTGGTTCCCTCTTCAGCTGCTGAGTCTCTCCCAACCTGTGTGAGCCCTTTCACCTCCCTTCCGTCCGATGGCAGTTCCCTGACATCCACCTCCCTCCAGGGCCCCCTTCACCCCCTCTCGCCCCCTCCTCTACGGGCGGTGAGGAGGCAAACCCCGGAATGAACTTCCTTCATCTTCCGATGTCTCGAACACTTCTCTCCACCTGTTGCGGTTCCTGGTCTCGAAGTACTCCTCCTCCTCAGAGTCCATCTCCCCTTCCCCTTCCGAGTCCGGGAATCCTTCCAACTCCTCCCCCTCATCAGTGGTCCCAAAGTATTCCCTCCGGAACCTCTCCACAGGCTGAGGTTTCCTTGGGAACCTTTGATGGAACGTTTCTATCAATACCTCGTCATTGATATCTTCGGCCATTACCCAAGTGTTTTCTGACTCCGGTTCTCCTTCCCACGCTACCAAATACTCCACCTGATCCCCCTTCCACCTGGCGTCGAGGATTTCAGCCACATGGCTGCTGCATTCTCTTTCTGCTATGACCGGTCCCCGAGTGGCCATCCCTTCTCGTCCCCCTTCGTACGGTGACAGTAACGACCTGTGAAATACTGGGTGCAGTTTCATGTGGTTGGGTAACCGGAGCCTGAAAGCCACTGGGTTGACCTGTTGAATGACCTCAAAGGGACCCAACCTCCTGGGTCTTAATTTCTTACAACCTCCGTTGAACGGCAACCCTTGGGTTGACAGCCACACCCTATCTCCCACCCTTATGGTTTCACCTTCCCTTCGGTTCTTGTCTGCCTGCCTCTTGTATTCTTCCTTCGCCCTTTCTAAGTTGAGTTGGAGCTGACGATGGATTGCTTCCATTTCTTCCACAAAATGCTCGGCTGCCGGGACGCTCCATCTCTCCCCATCTCCCCCTGGGAAACCCCTGGGATGACACCCATAATTAGCCAAGAAGGGGCTCATCCCTGTGGACACATTCTCGGCATTGTTGTAGGCAAATTCCGCCAGCGCCAACTTTTCTACCCAGTCATTCTCTCTGTCATTGACATAACACCTCAGGTATTGCTGGAGGACACCGTTTGCTCTTTCCGCCTGCCCGTTGGTTTCAGGGTGCCGGGCAGTCGAAAATTGACCTCCACCTGCAGTAAGCTCATGAGCTTCCTCCAGAACCTGGAAGTAAATTGTTTTCCTCGGTCTGAGACCACCCTCAATGGCACCCCGTGCAACCTAAAAATGTGTTCTACAAATAACTTCGCTGTCTCTTCCGCCGTGACTGCATGCGAGCAAGCTACAAAGTGGCACATCTTTGTTAGTAGGTCTACCACCACCATGATGGCTGTTTTCCCTTTGGACTTCGGCAGATCAGTCATAAAATCTATCGACACTGCCTCCCAAGGTCGT